GACAAAGCAGATATTAAAGACGGCCCACAGGTCGTCAGTCCTCGCCGGGCTCCCAGGGTCCATCTGCTATCTATAATAAGTCTACCGCTAATTTGGCGGCGGCGTGAAGCTCATCAGGAACACAGGATCCACTCATTACTTTCCTCTGGACTCTTTCCTTTCTGATTCGAACCTCATTTGTCTCGTAAATTTCGAGACGCTCCCTTGGGGTCTGTCTTTTAAAGCGGGGAAGAGGACTGATTGCTTTTTTAACGGGACAATACAAAGGGGGTTGAGTATTTAACCAGTCCATTTGGCGTTTTCCACGGCGAGGTCGCTACCCTTGTGTTTTTAACCAAGCAGACAGGGGTGGCAATGAGATTCAGGGAGTTAATACACCGCTGAAGCAAACACAGAAACTCTTTTTCCTCCTCCTCCTCCTCAGTTCTTCCCCCCTAATCTCACTCTTTCTTTATTTCTCCCTGTTTTTCCTCTTCTCTCTCAAGCTGTTTTCCTTTAAAACCACTGAAATCATTTTCTCTTTCATTCCTATCCCCATATGCCTCCGTTTTTGAATGAAGGTGTTCACGGGGAGCGATGAATAGGAAGGTTATCGGGAGCGTGCTGAAATGGAACCGTCTCTTCAGATTAAGATGCGTGGTACTGTGCGACGTGCGGTGAATGAGAAAATATTGAAAGGCTGAACCGGCACGGGAAAAGGTGGGGCGCGTATTGGTCCGTATGTGAGGCGTAGTGGCGGCCAGATTGAGTGCATCACAGTGAAACATCAGCAGGGACTCGCCTGCTGTAATTCTCGCTACTCTGTTGATGCGAGCCTCAAACTGCCTGTTTACCTGGGCTCGGCTGAGTCAAGCTCCAAATGTCAAGAAAACAGAATTGAAAAGCATCATTTTACAATCTTCACAGTAAGTTATTTGGTGGTGAGTGTAACTTTTTCAAAATGGGACCCGTGGGCAGGGACACAAAAGCAAAAAGGAAACAAAGGCTGAGCTTGAATAAGTGCCAGGGGTGGGAAACTTGAGCTCATGGATTAAAAATCATTACAGCGGGGTTACAACAACCCGAGCTCAGAGTTGGCAAAAGGAGCGGATCGGGCAGAAGTAGTGGTAGAGTTTTATAAAGAAGACACACAGAGGTACTGATCCGTGAGAATACAGATTTAATAACAGAAGAAGAGTGACGGCGGGGTTTCTAGATATGGTTTTGACATATATACCACCTACTAACATGTGCTAAAAGGTCTCAGTTTGGCTTAATTTGGGTGGAAGGAAGACTCGTCAGGAGTTCAATAGTATTGGATTTATTTAAGGCATCTATGAAGAATGTAATTAGGAGGAAATCGTCTGCTTATGGGACGTCAACACTCACTTTCTGAGTTTGATAGAAGTCTGAATGAAAGTCTCTTCTCTAAACCACACACGTGTAGAGTGAGGGTTTAGCTGACTTGTTTCATCTTATTGTAACAAAGACGCGTTAAATCCTTGATACTGATTGGTCAAAATTCCATAGCAACAGTCTGTTATTTCTCAAGGACAGTTTGTTGCCATGGATACGGCTCAAATCCTAAATTCTGGCAGACTAACTCTACTCAAGCTACAGATTTCTCATCAGCTGACAGTTGAATTGTTCATTCTTATTGGCTAAAATTCCATAGCAACAGTCTGTTATTTCCTGAGGACAGATCGTTGCTATGGATATGGCTCTAATCCAAAATTCTGACAGGCTAACTGTACTCATATCAAGCTGCAGTTCTCATCATCTGACAGTTAAATTCTTCATTCTGATTGGCTAAAACTCCATAGCAACAGTCCGTCCTTTTTTGAGGACAGATTGTTGCTATGGATACGGCTCGAATCCTAAATTCGGGCAGACTCACTACTCAAGCTACAGATTTTTACATCAGCTGACAGTTGAATTCTTCATTCTGATTGGCTAAAACTCCATAGCAACAGTCTGTTATTTCTCAAGGACAGATCGTTGCTATGGATACAGCTCTAATCCTTAATTCCGGCAGGCTAACTGTACATATATTAAGCTGCAGATTTCTTATCACTTGACTTTTGAATTCTTCATCATGACTGGCTAAAATTCCATAGCAACAGTCTGTTATTTCCTGAGGACAGATCGTTGCTATGGATACGGCTCGAATCCAAAATTCTGGCAGACTAACTGTACTTGTATGAAGCTGCAGTTCTCATCACCTGACAGTTAAATTCTTCATTCTGATTGGCTAAAACTCCATAGCAACAGTCCGTTCTTTTTTGAGGACAGATTGTTGCTATGGATACAGCTTGAATCCTAAATTCTGGCAGACTCACTACTCAAGCTACAGATTCTTCATCAGCTGACAGTTGAATTCTTCATTCTGATTGGCTAAAATTCCATAGCAACAGTCTGTTATTTCTCAAGGCAGCTCGTTGCTATGGATACAGCTCTGATCCTAAATTCTGGCAGGCTAACTGTACACATCAAGCTGAAGATTTCTCATCACCTGACTGTAGAATTCTGTTTCCTGATTGGCCAAAACCAATGTGAAGAAAAGAGACAACCACAAACTTCAACCAGGGGTGACAACCAGTCAATATCAGGGGTAAAGTGATCGGTTTATTGATGAGAAGTCCTGTAATTAGTGGGCTCATGTACAGTATCTGAGCTGGTTGGTCAAGTGAGATGACACTCCCTACTGAGGCCTCAACCAACGTATAACCTCATATCCCTTATCATATCTGCTTGATGTTATTGTTTCATGATATTTGATTGTGCACTGCTGAGTCTAAGTGCTGATAGTTTCCCTCCAAAACCAACAAAGCTCTCTACTCTGCCTCGTTTCTAAAAGTCTGAAAAGTAAAGCACCGATAGCCTCAATTTTTCTTATCTGCAGCCACCTCTGAGTTATGTGGACTTTTTACTGACAGCAAATAGAATTTATGAATCCTCGGAGAAGCCCAGCTGTTCTGAGCTCTGCAGCCTCTAATAAATCACCACTTCCACCAGTGGCATTTCCATTCTCATTAATAGTTGCTCCAGACCAATCACAGTCGTAAACACTTGCTTTACTCACGGGCACATGAGTTAACAGACTGCAGCTCTCCGACATCCGGGCTCGGTTATGAATGCTTGTAGCCCATATGCTGGAGTTGCTTGGTTGCTGCTCCCTCTGGGAAAAACCACACAGGTCCCGTGTAGAGTTTAATTCAAACCGCCACCTGGTTAATGAGCGAAAACTAGAGGAATGATTCATGGCAGCTGGATTCAGGTTATCACTCTCTGACTCTTTGTGCTTCCTCGGGGCTCAGGGGCTGACGGACTGATGGATTTGGAGGGCGCCACATTCCAAAATAACAACAAAAATTCTCACCTCTGCAATAAATCGCTCGCTAATGGATACGGACAACGTGCCGCAGGAATTTATGACATTTTGGACCCTCATTTGTTGGAGCGGGGTGATATTGCGGATGACATTAAATGCGTCCGGCTGCAGCTGCAGCTCGCATTAATCATACTCCCCGAGTCAGGACCTGTCAGACCAGATTAGGACTGGCGCAGAGCTAGCTTCATTACACCCCTCCCTCACAACCTCCCCGGGTCAAACAGGAACTTAAGTGTGGGAGTGTTTATGCGCGGGGACATCATCTCACTGTAACACAGGAGCACCTGCACTTTAACAGATGACTTTGTACATTTTCGTGCTCCGTTTGTGTGTCTCCGGTAATAACCCGTGTTCGCTGTTTGTTTGTTGTGACACGCAAGGCCAGCCGGGTTCAGGCTTCAATTAGTCTCGCCCAGGAAGACACAGAGGAGGCAGGGGACTCGGGCGGCCCGTCAGCGGGGTGACCTTACCGGTACTCTGTGAATTTCACAGCTGTTTTCTGATGTCATAAAGATTACACTTTAACAGGAGATAGCAGCTGATAAACAGTGACGCCTCATAAAGTTTCAAGCATCTGATAAAACCCTCTTGCAGCAAGGAGGACATATTTGGTACAGAAAAGAGAAAGCTTATCCCTTATCATCAGGCGGCGCTTTTCTTTTTTTAATAGAGTTGAACTCCGGCGTGATTGACTGCAGGGGAAATAACGTTTCTCACCTTGCCGCTATATTCTGCTCTGATACCAAGAGGAGGGCCTCAGCCGTAAAATGTAGCTTCAAAATTCAGAGATAAGAAATTGTATTGGAGCGATGACAGATGTGGAGCTGCAGACAGACTTGAACTCAACAGGCTGGGCTGAGGCGCAGGGACACATACATATGGAGAGGAGAAATCGCATTAGAGGCGGGAAAACATTTTACAAGCAGAGGTGGCTGAATAAAAACGCACATTTGCACAAGTATAGAAGCTCTGACTCATCTTTTTCTCAAGTTCTGTCGTCCGGACGTTAAAGTTTCCATGAGGAGTTTTTCTCGGTTATGGAACAGATTGAAATAAATATGGATGCCTCATTATGAGCTACATAAGCGAAGGAAATCCTCGGCAACAGCTGATAATATCTGTGCATATGTTTCAATGTCTAACCCTTCAGTCCTCGCTTCAACTATGGAGACTGTTTGGGAACGTTAAACTTGGGTTTATAACGAGGCAGAGCTCCTGAAATTTGCCAGAAATGTTCCAAAGTGCACTCGGGCTGCAACGATAAGTTGACGTTATCGATAAAAAACGATAATGAAAAGAGTCGACAATGAATTCCATTGTCAACTTTTGTCACCAGACGTGTTTTTATTGTCTAGTGAGGCATCTTACTTCATTACAATCTCTGCCTTGAGGTCTCTGCTGAGCTGAAGGGTATTCAAACATGGCGGTGCCGGCGCCCCATACAGCAGCTACGAGTATGTGCTTAAAAACCTCCAACGTTTTCACTTTAGTCTAGATAAGGCGAAAAAAACAAAAAACTTGCAAGGTTTGCGAAGCAGACCGATTAGTTGACTAATCGTTTCAAAAGTCGGTGACTAGTCGACTTTTAAAATAACCCTAAAGTGCACGTCTGAAATCAGCCTCAGGGACATCATCCACCAGTCCAACAATGGCGGCCATATTGAAACTGAGGTGGACCTCAAACCTTCTGCAAGTGGCTGCATCCTGCCAACCTGTCAGTCAACTACATACTAAATTATGCAAGTTTATGCATAACATAAGTTCTAGCACCAATATACAACAGGTGTTAGATTCAAGAACTTCGTCTAACAGGCAGAAACCTTGAGCAGGACCAGATTCAAGAACTTCCTTTAAAAGGCAGAAACCTTGAGCAGGACCAGACTTAGGAGTTTTCTTTTACAGGCAGAATTATCAAGCTGAACCAGATTCAAGAACTTCGTCTAACAGGTAGAAACCTCAAGCAGAACCAGACTCAAGACCTTCCTTTAAAAGGCAGAAACCTTGAGCAGGACCAGACTTAGGAGTTTTCTTTTACAGGCAGAAACATCAATCAGAACCAGATTCAAGAACTTCGTCTAACAGGCAGAAACCTCGAGCAGAACCAGACTCAAGAACTTAGTTTTACAGGCAGAAACCTTGAGCAGGACCAAACTGATGTTAGACCGTCATCTGCTGAGACTGAACTGCGTTTAGAGAGATGAAACCCTCACTATCTTCTCAGGTCATCACGGTGCTTCTGAGTTGAATCTCAGACATGCCAGGATGCTTTTTTGCATCAACTAGTGAAGGAACAGATCAGTGCAGGTGCTCTGTGCACAGGTAACGCTGCACCTGCACCTTTCTGAGTAATCACAGAGTAAGTGAAGTGTTTACTTTTACCATTTTAAGGAGGAGAGAGATTAAACTGAGGGGCTAAAATGTCAGAAAAGCTCTTCCTGAATGAAGTACTGAAGTACTTTTACATAAAAACGTTACTCCTCTAAACCACAGACGGCAGTGAGGACATAAAAAAGGAGAATTAGGAATTAGAGCGAGTCTGGAAAAAGACAAAGAGCAGAAATAAGGGACATTTAAATCCAAAGTGCCATGATGGATTATTTTTCCGGAGCACAAAGCTTGAAGTCTTTTCTCATGCATATCAATGTGTGTTGTTCAAATTCTGCTTACAATCAACGAGGCTTTCACTTCCTCAAACATCAAAAATTACTGTACAGCACTGAGACGCTCGGGTGCCCTCCTCCTGCGTCGCCGAGATGATTCAGCAGTGGGAGCTGACAGATTGGTGGAATAATGAACAGCGGCGTGCTGGGGGAGCGCGGATGTGTGCACACGGCTTCTTTAGCTCTTCAAAAGTCTGTGTGCAAGCCACAGCAGTGACAGTCCGTCCTCGCCTCCTCCTCCTCCCCGTCTCCTCTGCTCCTGCTGTTCCTGGAGTGGTGAGAAACTCATGCATGGAAAGTCTCCAAAACAAACAGGTTTGAAAAAGTTCCTCCTGCTCCTCCAGAGGCCCCAGGTGACTCCTCAGCCTCTGTGCCGATGATCAGGGCGCCTTTTCTTGTTCTGTCACACTTTTCTTTACTTATTAATCCATCTCCGTCTCGCTGCGGCTTTGATGCTGCTGACGACAGAGCTGTCCTGATTCTGTCACCGAAGACGCTGTAAAGGTGGGATACAGTCGCGGCGAGGGGCTGTGGAGAACCCGCAGATGAGATAAGAGGGTGTTAAACAGCCTCAAGTCCAAACAGGGCCGGTTCCGAGGCGAGGCACATTAACCGACTGTTTGTCAGGTGGTGTACAGTAGAGCTCTGCAGACAACAAGGAGACTCTCAGCTGCAAAAGGAGCCAATGAACACTTCTGAGGTACATTAGTGCATTAGACTTTACTGCTCATAATCCCTCCCTGAGTCCCCGAGTCTCTGATTCCTGCACAAGAAAGTGAGACGGGAGGCGGGCGGGCGGGGCGGAGAGCACGCGAGAAAGCCTTCAGGATCGCTTTCGCCGGAGGAAATGTGTTTCAGAGGGGACGTTCTGCACCCTAGGGCTGGATTAGCTCACATTGACACTCAGGGTTTGCAGCGAGCGGCCTGTCAGAGACCCCAGGTGCGAGCTACTGAAGCGAGTCCAATGTTGACACAGCACCTTCATGTCTGAGCGTGTTATTGGACCAAATGTAGAAATAATTGATGAGAACAAGATGTAAATAATTAATGGAGATTATTTGCTTTGTGTTGTTGACAGACGAGAAGCCTCTGGCTGCTATGTGCGCCGTTTTCTCCTCCAAACTAACCGAGAGGCTATTTCAGAGATGGCCGCCATCCCAGTTGTAAATTACTTTGGAGTGGAGTCAAGGGTGAATCTGTGAGCGTGTGTGTTTGTGTGTGTCGGGTAGACGAGGAGCAATGTCGATCCATCATTCAGCTCTCACACCAGGTTCAAATAATTGTGGTTTTTTTTCTTCCAATGACGACACCGGGTGAAAGAACGTCAGAGCGTGGGAGAATTAATTTGTTGTAAACACAAACAGCTGTTTGTCTCTTTTTACCCCCGGTTACGGAAAAGGAGTGAAAAACAAGTAATTTGATATGATAATTGCGACTTAATGCGTTTGATTTCCATTTTCACTTCTCTGATCTGTTCCGCCGCCACCGCCGCCGCCGTCTAATCTTCACATAGTTGTAGAGGTAAGTACTCGAGAGGCCGCCTGCGGAGATTACAGCATCAAACTTTGTAAACACAAGCTGCTTAGTCCTCTGAAGTGACGAGATCTGAACATTTGTCACGACAGGAAATCACTTTTGATAATTACGTTTTTGGAAACAGCGTGAAGAAGGGCCGAGATGGATTGTCAAGTCATTTAATATTGATGCAGTGATGTAAATGTTATCCAGACGAGGAAATTGCCCCGGCTAATTGGAGATCACACATTTACCGAGGGGCGACACATGCAAAGTGGGAGTCATTCAGATCGATGTAAGGTGAGCTCCTCGGGATGTCAGGTGTCAAAGTGTCAGGTGTAATTGTCTCCTACTGTCATGACACAGAGTCTAATTATGTGAGGGCGCGTCTCATTAAACCGCTGTGTACGTACGTGTTCGTACCACCAAAGACTGAACATCAGGGTCTTAACACTCGAACACGGTCGGGTCACGTTTTGGGAAAACTTTCATTCATGCAAAATGGAAAACAACAAAGAAGTGAGATTTTGAAAGTGTGTCTTTAAAAGCAGCCGATGACAACGATTTTTAGAAGAGAAATCACAGCGTGAAGGAGGTTAAACCATCACTTGAGTGGAAATAAAAGAGGTTAAAACGACAATGGGATGCTGTCGTGTGTGACTCTAAATCACAAGTTCTCAAAACAATCATTTCACTGAGCAGAACAAATTTCCCGATGACGATAATATGATAAGACTGAACGATCAGGGTGTTTGTGTCCTGTAATCTGACACCTTCACCTAGGGCTGGGCAACATGGCCTCAAATCAATATCAGGATATATTGATCAGTTCACCTCGATAACGATAAATAGACGATAACTACTCCACAAGCTGCTCACCCCCTCCCACATTAACTTCGTCTACTTCAGCCGCTCCAACTTTCTCTCCGTCCTCCATCTCCTCACCTGTCTTTCCCTCTTTGTTACAGACTGGATGGGGTGGAGTCACGTCTCTGACGTAGGACAGCGTCTTAAAAGGGACATGAGACCATAGCCTACCTACACACATCCAAAAACAACTGTTATTTGTATATTTATCTGACACTGATTATACCGATATTGGCAAAATGATGTTGGTTATTGTCGTGAATTTCGGTATTGGTAAATTTTTGGTTTATCGCCCAGCCCTACCCTAACCAGCCTCTTTAGTCTGAGTTTTATCTTCTCTTTGTTGGTTCTTTGTATCTTTCTCGTATCCTGCTGCATCCCTCCCTGAACCTCCTGAGTCTTTTTTGGGTTCGTTTCATCAAATCAACGAGAAAATGAACCAACCGTATGTGAACCCAGAGGATCATTCTGCAGGTTTAGATTCTTTAAATTTATTCACGGCAGTTTTCAGAAGGACAAATGTCAGCTGGAGCGGTCTAAATGGACTGGGACACTCTCCGCAATTTTCCCCAGAACCAGAGGTGGTCACTGGGGAGGCGGTGTGGCGAACAGAGCAATCTTCTGCCTCCGCTGCAAAAACCGAGCTGCCTAGCAACCCAGAGTCACTGTCACCTGTCTGATACTGACTCCTGTTCCTGCCCGACCCCCTGAGGAGTGACCCCTGTACCCGGGTTTCTGTGAAGGCGCCCTGAGACCCCCGTGTGTGCTCCTCAGTCAGCTCCTGTTTCTGTGCCTGCTCCTCTGGATCCACATTGATGGTGATCCAGGTCCACTTAGACCAGGTTAAAGGTGACCTAAAACCAGGTTTTGAGTCTTAAGTTACATCTCTGACAGTCGGATGGAGAAATCTAAAAATTTGGACAAACAAACACAGAAATCTTGGCTTGTTTTTTTCTACCTCTGTGACTTCACCAGCGCTTAGATTTGTTATTTCCCTGAGGTTGGAAAAGACGGTTAAATAATAAAGTAGATGGAAAAACGATGTACGGCAGAACAATCTGTGCTGACATGTTGAAATTTTCATGATGAAAACAATCAAAGACATCTTTTTCTCCTCTAATGTTCACATGTGAATTAAACACCAAATAGCCGAGCTTATTATTTTAGAAGACACATCTGTCACATTTGGCTCTGTACTCCGGCTGCTGAATATCTTGTTCCTCAGATTAAAAGACGAAATCCTGTCATGGCTTCAAATGAACGTTATTGTCTTTGGGTTTGAGATGAACCTGTTTGGAAACTTCCTTCACCCCTGACTGAAATTATTCTCGACAGAAAAACAAACGTTCAGTTTTGGCCTCAAAGTAAAATCCATTCTAACTTGTTAAAGTGTTTTCAGCGTGAAAGTACAAGAAAAAAAAGAAACTTTAAATTAATTTGCAATGTAATTGTTTTTATAAGATTGAAAACAAAAGCAATTGCAAATTAGGCAGGTGGAAACGAAGGTGGGAATTATGCAAATCACCAAATGAAGGTCTGTTCAAAACATCGACGACAAAGAACTGATAATTAAAAAGAAATGAGCCGTAAAAAGCTGAGAACAAACAGGCTCTGCTGTATTAAAATATGACTTTAAAAAGGATGATAGTTGAAGGTGTCGACAACAGGAACTTTACTTCCTTTAAAATGTTATTAATGAAAAAAAAAATGAATTTATGGATTTAAAGTCAAATCATTTTACGACTTATTTAAGTCCGTCCAACACCTGTCATATTTATTAACGCTGCAGCCGCCTTAAGAGAGTTAACGAGCCAATCAGGGAACAGCCCATAAAGATGAATACGAAGTGGCGTGGCTGGGCGATAAAACTGACATATGCTGCTGGGTGTGAGGTGACAGTGACTAATCTGTCATCCTAATTATGAAGTTGGTGATGGAGCTGACCCAAGGCCGTTAAGTTGTAAATCCAGCTCACCTGTTTCTTTAATGAATAGATGTGCAAAGAAATAATAAGACCCTCTGTGTGATATAAACAGAAACGAGTCAAAATCTGTTCCAGTGATGAAAGTCTGAAAAGATCAGAGTCAAACTTCATGTTCAGGTTGTTTTTGGTGTTTTTTCAAACATCTTATCCTGCTCAGGATTCTGCAGACGGAGCTCTGGGTCGACTTCCTTAGACTGCTGACCCTACAACCTCACCCCAGATGAGCGGAGGAACTGATGGATGGAGTTCAGCCTGGATTTGTCGATGTTTAAAGAAGCGCTGTTGTAATTCAGTGAATCCAGTTTCTGTTATTTCGTCACATTAAATAACACACTGCTGTCTATTTATTGTGTATCTTTATGGATCGGGCCAAACATTGAGATAAGGTGCCGAAATATGCTCTAAAGGCTATTGTTTGGGTTTATGACTGTTGTCACGGCAACCCAACATCCGTCCGCTGTATCCCAGATGAAAAGAGGTGATTTTGTGTTTTGTTCAGAAGAGAGACGCCGCTGTTTCTTCACAAGAAAACATGATTCTGAACAGAGTCACGTGTCACAGTCGAGCTGTTTAAATAACGCTTATCAAATACTCAGAGGTCGAAAACAAGTCATCATTCATGTGTGTGTGTGTGTGCGTGTGTGTGTGTGTGTTTAGACGGTGATGCTAAGTCAGGTTATGACTTTTTAATTGTCTTTCTTGATTATGATATCCGGCGGTAATATATATATCGATGGAAATGTCTCGGCGTTCTCAGCAGGAGCTGTCGGCTGATTCTGTCTCCGGAGTCGAGGAGGGTTCATCACAGCGACCCCCCCCCCATATATTTATCATTTATTAAAGTGAGGTACCTGCTTTAAAATCACTGTGACATATTTACTCGTTTCAACGCAGCGAGATTAACACACGGCTTCTCATCCTAACTTTATTTTAAGATGTTACGTCACCAGTGTTGGGACGAACGCGTCAAGTAACTTACCTAACACTGTACGTCACTGAACAATAATTAATAAAGTCACAACTAATGTGTTTGCCTTACAGTCCATTATACTCGCGCTCTAAATAGCTGTTAAACACTTTCTTTTTTAAACTGTTATATTACGAAGAGATCCATTCAAACGGACTGCTTTCACCCAGAAAGGGGCGGGGCTGCAGCTAAAGGGGCAGGGACGTAACCAAAGGGGCGGGACTACAGCAAAAGGGGCAGAACTGAAGATAAAGGGGCCGGGCTGCAGTTAAAGGGGCAGGGCTGCAGTTGCAGTTAAAGGGCGAAGCATTAATTTCTACTATTTTTTAAAACTTTGTAACTGAAGTACTGTAGTACGAAACCTGCCATGTCACATTGCTTCATCGCTGTTCCTCTCGTTGAGATGTCAGCGGTGGAAACGCCGCCACAGCGTGCTCCACTCAGAGTTTCATTATGATTTAGATTCATGAGAACTCAGCTGGCATTCATGCAGACTGACAAGAATCAGTTTTCCTGTTCCTCTTCCACGTACCTCTGACTTTTAGTCGTGAATCTGCAGAGGGGTTTTCTTTTTTTTGGATCTTGCCCTCGAGTGAATTAAGAGGCTCTTCAAGCTCTTCTGTCAGGCGATGTGAGAGTGATCTGTGGCATAATGTCATGGATGTGAAGCACCCTGCAGATGACAATCCCTCCTCATGAGTCACACACACACACACACACACACACACACACACGAGTGAGAAAAAAAACGACTGACTGCTATCAAACTTGCGTGGGATGAGGGGAACGGCATTAAAAAGAGACGGAAGAGGAAAATTACTTCTTTTCTTTGAGAGATTCAGGCAGCTCCGACATGTCGACAGCTCGGGTAGTTCATGATGATTCAGATTCAGCTGTATTTTTTTATTTTTTCAACCTGAGAGACACCGGCTTTAATTTACCTTTAGCTGCTGACGCCTCCCTCCCTCCCTCCCTCCCTCCCTGCCTGCCAGCACCATCACAACCTCGTCTCCGGCTGCCACCAATAATGAGTTTATGCCTGCTGTGAACATTTTTAGCTCCATGCCAGTCTTAGTGATCTCGCCCCCATGACTCCTTTGCATGTGCTGCCTGGGGTGCATTGACTCTGTGAGGCCTGTCGGCTCCCCTCATTCATCCCTCCATCATTACAGACATGGAGCCTCTCACCAGTGTCAGGGCTTTTCTTTCTCTCTGCACACTGACTCACCCCTCTGGGTCTGGATCTCCTCTTAGTGGTCCACTGTGCTCCCACAGGGTTCTGCTGCACGTCTCTTGAGCCAGGTGAGAGAAGGTAACCGGTGCTGTGTGTTCAACCAGCTCATCCCTCTGGAGAGAGTTGAAGAGAAACCGTCTGTTTTGATTCATAAACGTCTGTCACTACAGAAGCAGGACACTGTAAGACGGAAAAAGAAAACCACAATCTTAAAAAGTCATTTTTAAATTTATCTCAGAGTCCTTTTTAAGGATTTCTGCAAAGCAAACAAAAACTCAGACATTCTGACTCAGAAGTTCTGCTGTTGATGCCACGTGACGATAAAAAGACGCAGACTGAAATTAATCAAAGAAGCTTTAAATCAGATATTACATCAGTCTCATCTCTGCCAAGAACTAATTTAATTTGATTACTTTTTACACAAAAATTATGGGAAATAGGATTCGACCAAGAAGGTCCAATGACGTTGGTAAAGGAGTAAATTTATGTATGCTCAGCCCCTCCAGTGGTGTTGACTGGCTGGACTGGTGTGAAGGTGGTACCTGATCAAATTAAAGTTTTTTAAGTGACTTTAATTCTCTTCTGACCTTCTCGATCACTTTAGCTGCTGTATATTTAAGAAAATATACGAAAAAAATTAGATGTTTTTTAACCAAAACGATCAAATGAAAATCGACAATAAGACTTTCATAATTTAAAAGCATTTTAAATTATTTTTAATAATGGTCAAAGACGTTTTTTACATTGTACTTTTTATCATCTGACTGTTCTAATTTTAACGTTCTTCTAACGTGGTTTTATTTCCTGCATTTATTTATTTTTATCTGCTGTTTAAGGTTTTTTTTTACTTGCTTTATGGGGTTTTATGGTTTTGGAGGGGCAAATCTTTTAATTTGCTTTTTTTTCTAATGATTTTTATATTGAATGTGTATCTTATTTCTGTCTATTTATCTATTTCTAATTTCTCTGATTATTTTTTAATTTTATTTTTTAATTGTAAAGCACTCAGTTACCCTGTTTTGAAAGTGATGTATGAATAAAATTCACTATTATTATTATTTTCAATAATAATATTATTATTATTACATTGTTTATATTAATGTAATATCATATGATTATTTTAATAATTGTCTTGTTATTGTTATTATTTTTGATTATTTTATTATTATATAAATTATTATTATTATTTTCCTGATTTTTACTGTCACTTTTATCATGATTATCACTATTATAAATGTTTTAAATTTATTATTATCTTCTTTTCGTTATCATTGTGATCAACAAGATCACATGGCAGCTCCAGTTGCTAACCCACCATTATAGCTAACATGTCGACTGCTCTCACTGTCTCTTTGTTTGTGTTTCACAGTTTATCTCTTTTTTTTAGTTCGGCTGAATTTTTAACTCGACCACGACTCAGCACTCAGGTACATCCTGTGTGAAGGTGGATCCCTGACAGTTTGCTCCTCAGTGAAATACTCGAACACTCCAACAATGAGAGTTTGAATAAAATAGAAGCAGATGGATTAACTAATGAGCTGCAAACTTTCCTTATTGTTAAAGTGACTTTCTTTAATCAATAGGACAGAGCCGACTGTCAGACATTTGAAGAACCTGATATTGACGATTTTTCAGCGAACAGCGACTGTGGCATTGGAATAAATCGGTAAATTTCTATCAACGATTTCTGAGAGTTGTGTTTGTGTGTGAGGTGGTTTATTTAGTCATTGAGAGCTGTGTTTTTGTGGTTGTATTGAAATGGTTTAACATTATCCTGTTTGAAAGAAGCTCCACTGCTGACAGTAAGTGAGCTGTTTCTTTTGTTTTTTTCTTCTCCCACCTGTTAAAGTACATCACAAATGTTCCCTGTTGATAGATCTAATTTGAGGACTCTGTGGTTCATGAAACAAAATTGCTTTTTCTTCACGCTGCTCTTTGACAAAACTCTCATGGAGTAATTTGAATTGCCAATTCAGTCATTTTATTATCTCACAGAGGAATATTAATGGAGTTTGAGTCGGAGATGGCCTTCAAATCTGTGCGGTTTTATACCATTTGAAAGAAATCACGCTCCACCGTTCCCGTGGAAATAAGTGATCCTAAATTTTGTAAAGACATTTCATGCAGCTGAGACAATCTTCATCCATTATCCATGACACCGCACTGCCGTGGAAAACAGGAGAGATCCCACTGTCACTAAATGTAAAACTGAGGACTGTGCTTTAACCGGGTTTTTCTCTTCTGATGGAGTTTTTATCCGTCAGCAGGACTGTGAGAGTTTACGACAGAGAGATTATTACTGTAAAGAGTTTATAGACTCTTCACAAGTGCTTTCTTTAGTGTTGGTTTTTGATTAAACAGGATTACAAACCGACCTATCACAAACTCCTATCAGGAATGGGTAATTGTAGAACTTTTAGACTGATAGAAATAAAAATATGTTGATTTTATTTTAATTCCATAATTTTATTTTTTATTTAATGTCACGTCATGACAGAGAAATGTGATGATTTTAAACGTACATAAGTTACTGACACCTACTGGTGAAATTGTGCATTGCACTGAATACTAAGCAGGGCCCGACCGATTTATCGGCAAGTTGATTAAATCTGCCAATTTTCGGCTGTTTGAGACTAATCAGTAATCAGCCAAAACTCGCCAATTTTCGCCGATATTTTCAGAAATGAAATGCAGAGAATAAGATTCGGTATCACTTCAAAATGTCCCGCCATTTGAAAAGTTCCCCAACTTATCCTGTAGATGGCGCTACAGCGACCTCATAACAATCTTCATCCACTAACTACCAACTACCTCACAGCACAGCAGAGTGACGGATCTGAAGTTGAAAATGCTTTTCTGGTCTGAGTTTGATCAGTCGGTCTTCCTGAAGAGCAGTAGCCTACAGTATATCTACAATATCTACAGTATCTATTTATATTTTTTATAACTTCATAAAAAAATGTAAAAAAATCGCTGATTGATCTGTAATCTGATTTTTTCCCCCATAGTAATCGGTATCGGCTTGAGTGTTTTTTACGTGCTTCTAATTCAGTCAGTCCACGCTATCCAAACTCAAAACTTCCGTACAAAAACCCGGACAGTTAAAGTACTTCATCATCTCCCTCGGACGAGGTCGACAGCCCCAAAAAAGAGAACATGTCCGGGTAAAAGAGGACGTACGGTCACTTTTCTTTACTCGAAGAAAACCTTTTATAAATAAAGATGAATAAAGATTGAAGACCGACTACTTTTATGGTGAGAAATGTTCAGAAAACAGTCAAAATAGAGCAAATATTTAATGGAGTCAAACATCAGAATGTCAAACTAGTTTATTTGAGTTAAGCTAACATCTACAGAGCCAGGACCACCAGCCTTGAGTTCTCCTTGTAGGTTATCATCCACATGCCTGTGCTGGTTGTACATTAATCAGATTGAATCAGCCGTTTAACCCTGACACAGTTAACATTAGTATTTTCTGTTTTTCAATATTAAAAGGTCATCAAACTGCACCACACTGAGAGAGGCCCTCTGTCACAGGGGTTTATTAGTCGGAGATATCATAGATTGCTGTATTATCGACAGTTGATATTTGTTGTATTCAAAGATAATAAAGCCGACAAATAAAGAAGCTTTTCTGCAGATTCAGAGTTTTTCGCTCTCCTGACAGAGTCAAAGCTGCTCCGTTTCAGGGCCAGGTCAATGTCTGTGTGTTGAGATTAGATAAGGTGTGTACATTGTGGAAACACGATAGAGGATGATAGGTTGGGATGAGTGTGCTACCTCTGAGATATAGTGGGTGAAAGTGGTTGTGGTCCGTTATCTTATAATATCTTTATTGGTTCTTGGCTTTATGAACAATCATACTGTTGGACCTGGAGAGCACTGCGCTCCTGAAAAGGCTGAGAGAGAGAGAGAGAGAGAGATAGAGAGAGAGAGAGAGAGATAAGAGCTTAATGCAGACTTTAGGATATAAGTGGTTTGTGAATGTTTCCAAATCTTACATCCATACCTGTAAAATACATTTAATGTAACTGTGAGTTAAACCCAAACAGGTCCATGTGGTTTCTCTCTAGCTACGTTTACATGGAGCCAAATATTCCGAATATAATCGGATTAGAAGCCCAATCGGAATGAAAATGCTCCATATAAAACTCGTGAAGTTAAACTAAAGAGGCAGGACTTGCCCCCCGGTCTCCAGCCTGCAGGAGAAGTGATGGAAACACCCCTCCTCCTCCTCCTGCTCATTTTCTGCCTAAAAGCTGATTCAATTTGTAATAGCATCAGTCTTTTTCGCCAGAGGCGCCAACATCAGTGACTTTGAAGCAGTAGTTTGCAAAAACAACAGCCAATCGCCTGGAGGAGAAGCTGCCTGTGCAGAGAGTGTGGCACGGGTTTAGTGTTTATGAATGGAGTGGGTACAGTTCGGATGAAGCCCTGTGGTCTCACGCTGTACAGGCTCTGGACGGCTCCATGTAAACAGTTCGCCTGGGAGCTTCAATCGGAATGATTGATCAGGATTCCCTGTTGGAGGGCAGATGTGGCTCAGCAGATGTAAACGTGGCTTCTGACAGGTCAAAGTCTGAATCACAGATTCTGCCGTCTCTAATCACCACCTGTCCTCGCACAAGACAAAAAAGAAAAACCAATAACTTCAGACGGCGAGGCCTTGAAGATAATTTCATTCTGCAGCGGACCTGCAGAGCTTTTGTGGCTCTTAGCAAACACTAGTCCGCCACACACATAAATTTCACATGGCATTATTTTTTATTAGTATTCATGAATTCATACTAGAAGGCAGAGGAGTCTCATAATATGTATGACGTTTTAATATCAGGGTATCATGTCTTTTCAGAACCGGGGAAGTCCAGGGTGTGCACTAGAGGAGTTATGATAGTGTGTGGGCGCCACAAAACAACAAACAAGTCCTCTGACGGGGGGAGATCTTTCAGTCTGAGACCCCCCCAAAAGGGTTCACTATGAACTCAGAATCAACAGTGATCAGGATTCCCTGTTGGAGGGCAGATGTGGCTCAGCAGACTGTCGTGTGTTAATCACACGAGGTTTCAGACAGCATGTGGGAACAGTCTTGGACTGCTAACGAACCTTTGCCCTGGACTCTAGACTTTAACGAGGTGAGACCTGGGGACAGTAT